TCCGTGGGCTGCGGCTTGTGGCGCCTGGGCTTCGCGCACTGTGCAGGCAGGGCAGCTCTCAGGTCCTTTCACCAGTGGTGGGGGAAGGTGCTGGTGTCCCACCTCTTCTTCGGTCCTGGGTGAATGGGGAGCTCTGGGGATGTGCTGGTGCCAGTGGTTGTGTGATGAGGACCGGGGATGGCCTGCCCATGGGAGGATGGGGCAGGGTGGCTCTGAGCCCCACACTCTCCGTTAACGGGGAGGCGCTGCAGGAGGGCTGGGCCATGGGTGCTCTCCTCTCTTGCAGGCGTGGGGCCTCCCGCTGGGGAGGGTCCGTCCTGTCGGCCAGGGGCACCCCCGGGACCATGGGCTGCGGCTTGTGGCGCCTGGGCTTCGCACTGTGCTGAGGCAGGGCAGCTCTCAGGTCCTTTCACCAGTGGTGGGGGAAGGTGCTGGTGTCCCACCTCTTCTTCGGTCCTGGGTGAATGGGGAGCTCTGGGGATGTGCTGGTGCCAGTGGTTGTGTGATGAGGACCGGGGATGGCCTGCCCATGGGAGGATGGGGCAGGGTGGCTCTGAGCCCCACACTCTCCGTTTATTTCCTCTTCTCGTTGCTCAGGCTGGTCCTGGGGTTGCGGGTGCTCCTGATGGCAAAGCATGGCTGTGAGCATCCCGCCGGCCGGGCAGCGGTGTGGGCAGGTGTGCCACAGCCCCGGGGCCCTGCTGGTCCCTGTGCCCCCCTGGGAGCTCTGCCCGGGCATGGGGGCAGCGATGGCCCAGCGGGTCTACGATGAGCGTTGGTAGTGCTGGGCTGGGCCAAGTGGGCACTGCTGGGGCAGCTCTGGCACAGCCACGTCTCTCACCCTCTGTCTCTCATGGTCCTGTTTCACACAAGTCTCTGTCCCCCGACTCTTGCCCCAGGCGTCTCTTCCCCAGCGGACAGCTGCTCGACCCCAGCCGCTCCATGCTGCGCTAGGCTTGAGCAAGTGGATTTGCACAGGCAGAGGGGACGTGTGTGTTTGCTCCCAGCCTGCTGTGCCGAAGAGCAGCACGAGCGGGTGGCAGAAAGAGGCATGTGCCGTGGTCGCCATCCCCCTGCCCCTGTCATGCCGGGCCTGTCCAGCTCTCAGCTCGTGAGTTACGATGATGCCAGCTGACAGGACGGAGGGAGCGGGGAGGGAGCGCCTGGTGTGGGAGGTGACCGTCTGGCAGCCAGCTGTGTATTCTGATTTCACGTCACACTCATCTGCTCCCGTTGCTCTCCCCTGCTGCCATCCCACCTGCACACTCATCCTCTGTCCTGGCCATTCCTGCCCCCATGCCCGTCACACCACCCCATCTCCTTTTGCCCCTCTCTGCTCGACACCTGCCAGCCCCTCCATTTCCAGGCTGTCTTGTCCAACCTCACCCACCCCGAGGACCATCCGTCTCCCCCAGTGCATCTGCTGCCAGCAGGATGGCCAACCAGGCTGGTGCTTCAGCAGGTACTGTGGCCGCCCAGCCTCTGGCTGGTGCTCCACGGCCCCCCACCTGGGCTTGGACCCCTCACCCCGGGTTAGGGCGCCTGGTTAGTGCGGGGGTTCCTCAGAGCACCTCCACAAGATGTGGCTGCAGCCCCACATAGCCACCGGTGTGCAGGCAGGTGAGCCTGCTGCCGCAGGAGGAAGAGCTTCCCAGCACTTGCCTCTCCTGACAGCTGCAGCAGGGTCTTGGTCCTGGTGCTGGGGTTGGAGAGGACAGCGCTGCCAGGGCCCCGGGTGGCTCGGAGGTGAGACCCAGGTGGTGCCCAGCTGTGGGAGATCATTCCTGCAGCGAGGCACCCACGTGTGTGCCTCCCCCGGGTGCTGCCGGTTGCCTTCTCTCTGGCCCACTCAGTGAGGAGGGGGGTCAGGCAGCACGCTGCTCAGGGCTGCGAGGAGCACGGTCCAGCACAGGATGCGCCGGGGCCCCGTCTGTGAGAGCAGATGTGGCTGGGCTGGCGATGAGGCAGCCCCAGGGCCAGGCCCTGCCAGCTCCTGCAGGCAGGCTGGGGTCAGTGCCTTCTCCTGCGGGGTCGGCTGCCACTGCTGCCAACACCGGGGCCCTGCGTGGGAGCCCTCTGGAAAGGCTCGTAGGAGTAGGTTCCCTGCTGCGTGCACGAGGCATCAGGTCACAACGCCTGCAAGCCAGTTAAGAGGCACACAGCAGTGCAAGACCAGCTGGAGCCCGTTAACGCTGCCAGCTCATGCCCTCGCTGCTGGTGGGGGAGAGCTGCTCTGGCCCGGGGCCTGAGCAGGGGGAGGTGCCCAGCGCTGTGCCGCAGCAGGCGCGGTGGCAGCTTCCCAGGCAGGGCAGCAGCCGGGCAGGGGTGGGTGCTGCCCGGACCGCAAGTCTGCTGTGTGTGGGCTTTGTCGAGCCCCGATGCAGCCCTGTGGGAGTCCTGCGCTCCTTGCAGTGCCCCGAGCCCTCCAGGTGCAGCCACAGTGCCCTGCTGTGAAGGCACCATTGCTTTTGGGTGAGCAGCCTGGCCTGTGCCCTCATGGGTGCTGCTGCCCTGCTGAGCCGATGCTGCGCGGGGCTGTGTCTGTTCCAGGTTCCGGGCTGCACCAGCCCCACCCCAGCCCAGCCATCGGAGGAGAGGAAGTTGTCCGTGGCATCGCCGTGGAGAAGTTTGACATTGTCAAGAAATGGGGTATCAACACGTACAAGGTGAGCTGCTTCCTGGGACTGTCAGGATGGCCCGGCTTGCTGCCAGGGCCGCGCAGCAGGCTGAGGGTTGGGCCAGCCCCTGCACTAGGGGCGAAGGAGCAGCGGGAGGTGGAGGACGCGTCTGGGGATCTTCCTTCATGAGGACAGCTCTGCAGCTCCCTGCTGCCCACAGTGGCAAGGAGCACTTCCCCATCGGCCAGGGACTCGGGGCCTCCTGACGCCTTCCTCCCTCGCCCTGCAGTGTACCAAGCAGCTGATCTCGGAGCGGTTTGGCCGGGGCTCCCGCACTGTGGACCTGGAGCTGGAGACACAGATTGAGCTGCTCCGGGAGACAAAGCGCAAGTACGAGTGTGTGCTGCAGCTCGCGCGGGCTTTCACCAACCACTTCTACAGCCTGGTGCAGACACAGCACGCCCTGGGGGATGCCTTTGCGGACCTCAGCCAGAAGTCTCCTGAGCTGCAGGTATGCCCACTGGGGAGATGGCATGCACCTTGCCTCTGCTGCAGCCCCTCGTGCCTGGGGAGGAGACCTAGAGACCCAAATCAGCCTCGGGCTCTGCAGTGCAGCTGAGGGCAGCTCTCTGCTCTGCAGCACCCCAGGTGCGTGTGGAGAAGCAGGAGGAGGTTGGGGATAACAGCGCTCGGTGAAGGCCGCGGGGCAGGGGAGAGCGTCAAGGGCAGTGTCCCAGCACCTCCTTGGAGCACCCAGGGCCAGGCTGATTCTGAGTGTGTGGGAGGAGAGAGGGGGCCTCGCTGGTACAGGCCCTGACTCTTCCTCCTCTCCCAGGAGGAGTTTGGTTACAACGCGGAAACGCAGAAACTGCTCTGCAAGAACGGAGAAACACTACTGGGGGCTGTCAACTTCTTTGTCTCCAGCATCAACACACTGGTGAACAAGACCATGGAGGACACGCTCATGACGGTCAAGCAGTATGAGACAGCCAGGTAGAACGGCGGCGTGGCCTGTGGGCCGGGGCTGGGTTCCTGACGGGTGTCGGGCATCCCCGGGGGGGAATTGCGGGGCTGCAGTGTAGCTCTGACACTGGCTGTCCCTGCACAGGCTGGAGTATGATGCGTACCGCACGGACCTGGAGGAGCTGAGCATGGGCCCTCGGGATGCCAGCACCCTGTGCCGGCTGGATGCAGCCCAGAGCCAGTTCCAGAGCCACAAGGACAAGTACGAAAAGCTGCGTGCTGATGTGGCCATCAAGCTCAAGTTCTTGGAGGAGAACAAGGTGGGGAGGGATGTGGGGCTGGGAAGGGGCCGCGGGGCGCAGAGCTGGGGTCTGTTGTGCACTCGTCGTGTCCCTTGGCCGTACTGCCTTGCAGCTGCCTGCCTGAGATCTGTTTTTGGGTGGGCAGCAGCTGTGAGGCAGCCAGGAGACCAGAGGGGAAGGGCAGGGGAGTGCCCGTCTCTGCCCGCCTCTCGCTGTCATGGCTTCTGCCATGCAGCCTTCTCCTGGCTTTCAGGGCTAGCTTTCAGGAGCTGCTGGCAGCAGCTCTGACCTCCCCCTCCTGTGCTAGGCGGGGGCTGCATCCCTGCTCCCTGCCCCTCTGGGTGCTGGGTGGTGGGACCAGCTCGCTGCAGGCTGACACCTCCTGCTCTTACCAGATCAAGGTGATGCACAAGCAGCTACTGCTCTTCCACAACGCCATCTCTGCCTACTTTGCTGGGAACCAGCAGCAGTTGGAGCAGACCCTCAAGCAGTTCAACATCAAGCTGAAGACCCCCGGTGCTGAGAAGCCCTCCTGGCTGGAGGAGCAGTGAGCCGCCCCCGCCGCCCCCCACGTGCTCTGGCCCGGGGGCGCCATGGACCTGAATTCTGGCCGCTGGCGCAGGGCCAGGCCACGTGCTCGCGGGGTGAGCGGGGGACGCGGCCTGGGCCCTGCTGCAGCCGGGGGCTGCCCACCGGGCACGGGGGGGGGCCTGGTTTGGGGGTGAACAGGAGGCCACGAGCAGGGCCCTGGTCTTGCCTGGGGAGAGGAGCCTGGAGAGGCTGGGGCTCCCCCATCCTGTGTCTCCCCTTCGGGGCAGAGTCCAGCCCTGCCCAGCTCGTTTGCGCTCCCTTAGCACAGACCCCTGGCACGATGTCTGGGAGCCCTCCCTGCCTCCCGGTACCCCTGCGGGGCAGTGGACGCCTCCCTCGCTGGGGCCGCACACCCCAGACCCCACCGCACACCTTGGGGTGGGGTGGGACACTCCACAGCTCTCCCTCTGCCTCCCCTGGGGCAGGGCAGGAGTGCGCCCCCCCCTGCCGGGCCTCCTCCCTGCCCCCCCGGCCCTGACTCCCTGGGGCCCAGCCCAGGAATACCCCTGTCCTGCGGCAGAAGTGTTCATTTCCACATGAAGACAAAGCTAGGGAGGGGCGGCACCAGGACTGTTGGTTCCCCTCCCTTTCCCTGGGGGGGGCTGTGGGTTCCCACTCGCTGCGGCTGGCAGCTGGGGCTCCTGCCTTCTCTCCCAGCTTTAGGGTTGCTCCGTCTCCCTCCTGGCTGATCCCTGGTGTTCCCTGGGCAGCTGTTCTTGCACTCCCACCCCAGCCGATGCAGGGGCCAACCCCCCCCCAGCCTCACACTACATTCCCGCACGCACAGGGCGGGCTGTGCCCGCTGTCTCCGGGGCCATGGCTGGCCCGTCCTGCTCTCTGGGTCCTCTGGCTGGGGTTGTGCTCGCCCAGTCTGTGGTGGGGGTGGTCATCCTGGGGCTGGGGGGGGGAACCTGCGCATTGCTGCTAGCAAGGTGTGGGTGGGCGGGTGCTGGCCAGACACTGGCCCTCTCGCCACCCTGATGCTTGGACCCTGGATGGCTGCCACAGGAGCTGTGGGGACTCAAACCAAGGACCAAACGCTGGCTGCGTCCTGGGCAGGTGCATGTGCATGTCTGCGTGCGTGTGCTGAGGGTGCGTGTGCCATGCACAGCGGTGCCGGGGCCTTGGCCAGCGTCCCACGCGTGAGAGCTCTGTCCTGCTCCAGCTGAGTGTTGCTTCCAGCCCTGGCCACATGCAGCACTTGGGCACTTTCTCCTGAGACAAACCAGTTTGTTTTTCTTGCTAATTTAATTCCTGGTAATTTAATGTCTGGATCTGAACCCCCCCCCTTTCCTGGTGAAGGTCTGATCCCCTCTTCCCTCCCAACTTCTGTAAGATTCCAGAATAAAACGGTACGGATCACTTGTGTGCGCGGAGCTGTGGGCCTGGGGCCCCCTGGGCTGGAGGCTGACTCTGGGGGGAAGGTGGAGACAGCCTGGGGAGGTGCTGGGTGGAGGTGAGGCGTGGCTGGCCCTTCCTGATGGCTGCAGAGTGGTCCTGCCACAGGCTGGAGGTTCCCCTGCCGCTGCCCTACACGGGCTTGAGCCGTGAGCATCTGGGGAGGTAGCAGAGGTGACCTGAGGGCAGGGGAGCCTGTGCTGCCCTGTGTTCACCCAGCCCGGCTGCAGGGGCTGTGCCCCCCCCGCCCCAGGCTGCCAGCCCCTGCCTGCTCTGCTCCCTTGGCCCCCTGCCCGCTCTGCACGCAGAGCTGGCAACCGGAGGATTGAGCGGTGATTGGCACTGCTTGGTCCTGCTTGTGCACAGCCTTACCCAGATTAGTGGCTGCGTAGCAACATGTCTCGGGGAGCTCAGGGCTCCTCCAGCCCAGTCCTGCCCTGCAGTGGGAATGTGGCTGCCTGGGGCCAGCAGAAAACAATGAGACAAGCCCCAAACCATCCCCGAAATAGCCAGGGATGCCCTGTGACATGGCCAGGCATCGGGTTTAGAAAATAACCTGGTGCTTCAAAGAGCCCATCACAGCTGTGGGATGCTGGGGCTCGAAAAGGGAACTGGGCAAGTGCACAGGAGAAAGTGCATCTGGAGGTGCTGCAGATGCCCCAGCCCCTGGCTCAGAAGGGCAGGAGAGGACTTTGGGGGAGACTCCTGATCATCCTAAAGTCTTCCCTGGGCATCTGCTGCTGTTTGCTGTCAGAGTCCTGGGGCGATGGGCCTTTGCTCTGATCCCCCGCAGCTGTTCTCACCTTCCCGAAGTACTGGCAGGAATCAGTACCCGGCTGCTGGGGCAATTCCACTCCAGCCTGGGAAGCGAATAGGGAAGACACTGGGGAGTGACCCCAGAAGAGGGGGCTCGGCGGGGCTCGTTCCTCAGGGATGGAGGGGACATCTGCTGCTCCCGGTGGTCTCGGCGCTGTCTGTCACCACAGTCCCGCTGGCAGCACCGGGGGCTCGGCCAGGCTCGGAGGGTCCC